AAACGGCTATTTTTTAAATTTCGAAAATAGTTCCGAAATTTCTAATTATAAATCAGCCTATACCGCCCTAAATTTTGTCCCACGATGAAATTCAGTGAAATCGAAAGCTACTTTTTGCCATTCAACGCATTCCCCGCCCACTAAACTGCTCCATTGTTGAAACCGCTTTCGCTCAGACCACATAAATTCACAAAAGAGAAATTAAAAAAATGGAAAAAAAATCCTAACAAATGAGTAGCCAAGTTTAATTATCTTAGAAATCAACATCAATGGAATAAACCCCATTGAAGATCTCAAATTTTAGACATTAATTTACACAAAAATAAAGGAAGAAAACCCAACCAAGAAAAAACACTGCAAATTCAGCCATTTCCCCACCAAAACCTGTGCATATTCACTCATTTTTTCCCTCAATATCAAATCCAGAGCAATGGGAAAAGCCCAAATTTTGCAGGTTTCCAACCCATATCTGCAAATCTTGGCAATTGTCATGGTAATCCAATGCTTTAATGTTTCAGTTGCAGAGATAAGAGACACCAGAATCCTCTCAGATTCGAGACCGATGATTTTCTTCGAAAGGTTCGGTTTTACAAACACAGGCCATGCCTATGTTGCAATCAAGAATGTTTCATGGAAGCTAAGACATGGACAATCTGAACTAGACCCCACTTCTATGGGCTTCTTCTTATTAACAGAAGCTTCTCACTGGAAAATAATGAATGAATATGTGTACACACAGTTTTTTTGCATCACTTCTAGCCAATACATCTTGCCTCTCTTTAATCTCACAGACTTAGAATTAGACTACTCTCATAATTCCACCATTCAAGTCATGCAACCTGATGAATATACCTTAGTTTTTGGAAACTGTCAACCTGAATTCGAAATCATCATGGATGTTCATACTGAAATGTATAACATGGATGGAGATGTGAGGGATTTCCTCCCTTCTGGCCAAACCCAGCTACCCATTTTGTACTTGTTTTACTTTGTGATTTACTGTCTTTTCATTGGGTTATGGATAAATATATGCATGAGACATAGGATGACCATGGATAAGATACATGTGATAATGGGGGGGCTTCTTTTTGTGAAGGCATTGAAACTTGGATGTGCAGCAGAGGATCAATACTTTGTTAAGATGACAGGAACCCCACATGGCTGGGATATAGCATTCTATGTTTTTGGGTTCTTCAAAGGAATAATGCTCTTTACCGTTATTGTTCTTATAGGTACCGGTTGGTCCTTTTTGAAGCCATATTTGCAAGAGAGAGAGAAGAAGGTCCTTATGGTTGTGATCCCACTCCAAGTGTTGGAGAATATGGCATCAGTTGTGATCGGAGAATCGGGTCCATTTGCCAAGGATTGGATCGCATGGAATCATATATTTTTGATCATCGATTTGGCTTGTTGTTGTGCTATAGTCATTCCAATTATATGGTCTATAAGGACTTTGAGAGAAGCATTAAAAACCGATGGAAAAGCAGCAAGGAATTTAGAGAAACTGACTCTTTTTAGGCAATTCTATATGGTGGTGGTTGGATACTTGTATTTCACTAGGATTGTGGTTTCAGCCATAGGGAGCTTGGCGAGCTACAGGTATGAATGGATAAAGAATTTGTCAGAGGAAGGTGCAAGTCTCGCATTTTATGTGTTTGTGTTCTACAAGTTTCGTCCTTTAGAGAGGAACCCATATTTTCTTGTGGATGATGATGAGGGGAAGGCCGTTGCAGAGCTTGCACGTGCACTCGAGGATGAAGATGAATTTGAGCTCTAAGTATTGGTGACCAAGAAATCTCTCTCTCTCTCTCTCTCTCTCTCTCTCTCTCTCCAGGAACCACATCTAACCTGGTTAGGCTAGTTTTGGATTTGTAGGCCTAAACATACATTTGCAGAGAGAGCTTACCAGACTACATTTGAAATACTGTAATTCCCCAAGCTGTTATTATTGGTCCCAATGAGCTTGTTTGCATTCTTTTTCTTGTATGATACGTGTATTACTTCTACTGTGCATTGAAATTTTCTGGAGCATTGTCAGGAAATCTTGTTTGGAAGGAAAACACATATTGTGGGAGTATGGTTAGAACATTTCAATAAGGAGACTACAATCATATGCTTCAGCCCATGTTCCTTGAGCCTCATTTCCAACTACTTGTGTTATTTTATTCCAAGGCAGTTGAAATTCCTCTTCGAATAATATTCCTAAATACCATCAGCAACCACTACACACAAATAAAGGCAAAATAGTGGGACCCGCTGACATATTACAAAAAAGAGAGATGGAGAGAGGTGGGCTGTGTATTTTGGTCAATAAAAAACAACCCAGTACATCAACCATGATGATTGTTTGGTTACCAAATTTATGTGAAATTGAAGCTTTATTGTTCAATAAAATCACATAAAACAGACTTGAGATATTAGGGACAGCCAATTTAACTAGAGCATAATTATTCATTAAGCAAAATAGTAAGTTATCCTGCTCTAAAAGAACTCACAAAGATTATCATGGCCAAGAAATAAAAACATTAACTGAAAAAACTAAAAATGGAAAATACTCGATCCTCAAATCAGCCTGCTTTGAATTGGATCTACAAATGTATCAGTAGTACAAAATGCCTCATGTCATCTCCAATATAATTTAATTCTGATGATTCCAACTGCAGGAGTTTCATCTTTATATGATTCATAGGATCTTAGATAACCTGACCAACCTTAAGGCAAATTTAGCCTTTCCTTTTAAATGAGATATGCAATTTGGCTTTGTTACCCTCTTAAGAGTAACAAGATTAGAAAGAATGCCACAAGCAACCACGACTCGAGCCTTTTCCAGCTTCTACACCTCAACAAAGATTGAGCAATATCCTGTTTACTATTACTGTCACTTGTTATTTTTGCTGTGCACCAGCAGCAAATTTAAGATATGGGGAATTCTTATACTCCGCATAGATGGGAAGATCAAGCGTTTTCTCAGCAATCCTCCCATCCTCATGGATCCTCTCGATCAAGGATTCTAACGAAGGGAAATTTGCCTGCACAAACCATAAAGACCAACAGTATATAGTTAACTTTATCTTTATTTTCGAGTGTCCGATGATCCTAAGAAATGTCAAAAAACCATAAATTGCATCATCACTATAGACTAAAAAGATGGACAATGATGGAAACAGTGAGGCGCCTAGAACTTAGATGGTAGTAACGGGTCTATGATTTAATTTGCCTTTTAGCCTTTATAAGAACATGTTATGATGGCAAAAAATACCTCTGGTCGTATATAGCCAACAATCACAAGACGGAGCTCCTCGCCATAGAAATCACCATCAAAGTCATGAAGCAGCCATGGCTCCTGCAATAAAAGAAATCTGAGCATCTTAGAATAGCTTTAGTTTTGTTGCTGAATGTGGCAAAATTCAAGAGAGAGGAGTCGGAGAAGCCAAAGAAGGAAAACCATTGTTTCTTAGAACATTGAGAAAAGCCAAAATATTTTCTATGCACTATACTACGAGGTTAAGAATGCAATCACAAACACTGCACACATACAATTGTCTTCTCACTGTTATCAAAATATGGGTTCCATCCAATGCTCATGACCATCTTATAGATACCACGTGTAGATAATCCAGCCCACCCAAAATATACTCCACATGCCACCTGTGACAGGATGCTTGAGAAGGATTCTGGCGAGAGATTGGCTGCAATTAAGGCAATATAAGCTTAACTAAAGCCTATGTCTTTCAAGCCAATGCACAATCTGTCACAAGCGTAAGCTTGGGAATTAGACATTGATGTACCTGTCGGTATCCCAAGCACTTTTGAGCCACGGCCGTACCCCTTAATAACAGGGCCTCCAACATACCAAGGCTCAACAGGTAAAGTATCTTCTGCCCCTGTACATCAAAGCCAGTATGCACAACCACAATACATTACCATTACAAACACTGCTTAGAAGGGCATGAGTCACGGAACAGATCAATAAGACAAATTTCCGGACTTACAATCTTGGAAAGGTGGGAGACCCCATTTCTCAGGTCGCAGGTCAAGTAAAGAATTGATCACCTCATCAGCTGCAGTGAAAAGATTGGCCTGTTTTGGAAGAGATGGAACAGCAACAACTTCCATCCCTGCAGCTTTTCCGGCGGTGACACCGGGCCTGTAATTTAAAAGATTTCACGGTCAGGTAATAAACATGAAAATTAAGGTGAGGATAGCTGGTTTTTGCTTCATTGTGGCAATCCAAGTAAGGTAGAAAACTATGAAAACAGGATTAATTTTTCAATAAATTATGAAGAAATGAGTGAAATTTTTATACAAATAAGCATCCTGATTCCGAGAGATATTTAAAATAGCATCAAATCTGAGGATGAATACAACTAGGAGATTGCATTTTCTCTTAGTGTTATTAAAGTTATACTCAGCAAGGAACCTGGAACTCGAACTAAGTCAACTCGAACTAAGTCAGATGTCTTGTGCAGTTCTTAAAAATTAGAAAGAAAGCGAAGATGGGAAATAGTAAAACATTAAAATATGGGGTTCAAATGTATGGGGTCATGAAACGAATAAGGCACCACCTTCCCTAAAAACAGGGGCAGAAGCGATGCACGTAAAACTCTCCAAGTCTCTACAGAAGTTGAATGAGCCTCATCCTTTTCTAAGGCTGGGGATAACAAGACATGGAAGACGTACGAGTATAAATTTTGAAGAAAAGCAGATTGAACCAAATGGAGCACCATGTCACATGCCGAGAAAGAAATGCTGGTCCAAATCCAAGAGGATGTCAGAGAGAATGGCAGTCCCCTTTTTGCAACATTTGACAGCAGTTAGCAATGGCAAGTCTAACTTCCTAGCAACAATTGCCCCTTGACAGTTTCTGGCCACCAATGTTACAACGAAAGTTGTGATGTATGTATCTCGGAGAATCCAATACGTAAATGCACAAAACTGTGTGCTGCCACTCAACATGCACATCTAGAAATTTTCCTTTTTTGGATTCACACACATGGCATATCTACTATGTGGACACATGAGTCCACTGATTGGACAAGGAACACAAGATGATGATTTGTAAGGCATGCGTCTCACAATGTAAAACACCTTGTCTTTGATTTGGACATACAAATTCTAATTTTTTCTGTTAATTTTATTCTTTATACACCCACAAATTAATTTTATATAAAATTAATTTGGAAAGTGAACCAGATGACGGGTTCTTTTATCAGTGTCCATGTAACAAAGCTTTCCACAAGTATTAGAATAGATCCTATAGAAGTCCCACCTTTGATCTTCAATGAGACTGAAAATGCAAAGAGAGTCCAAACATTATATTAGTTTTTGAGAGGCTAATGAAATTAGACTGGTTTTTTTGTCATTAACCAAGGGGAGAGCTTTCTATGTATCTCCCCACACATAATTTATGTGTCTAGAGACATCCAGTTGTGTAATCTTTGATCACATGGCTGGGAGAAAGCTGCCAGCAATGTCATGTAATAATTATGGCCCGACATAAATACTTGGCACCAACTTGTAACATCAATGTAGTGAGCCATGAACTGAAGACAACTTGTAATCCTTAGTGAGGCCCATATATTGAGAGTGTTGGGTTCATTAGTGCATAGAAATATTGTTATCTATGTTGATACAGCATCATTTGAGTCATACATAAAATGTGATTGTTGACAGTTACTTACAGGGAGTCTTCTATGACCAGGCAATTTGAGGCTTCAGCATTCAACTTCTCCGCTGCTCTGAGAAATCTGCAAAACAAAAGTAACAAAGTTGAACAAGACCATCTAAATATGGAACCAATTCACTACCATTTACTTCTACTCAATAGAACTTCAGTTACTGTTCCACAATCAAGTTATCAGTTGATGCTCTCACATTTCAGGAGATGGTTTCCCTTCTCTTACTTCATTACCACCAATAATTACAGAAAAAGATTGTTTCCAACCTGTACAGGGGCACCACCAAGTTCACAAGAATTAATTTTAAAACCACAAACCATGAGAATCTTGACTAATTTATACATTAGTCCATTATAAACTTATCCAAGAAACTACGACTATGATGATCTAAGATTACCACATACCATCGTGATAAGAGATCTTCTCCTCTATATTTTCCCTTGGGGAATTTGAAGCCAATGCAATCTTTATGCCATTGCTACGCAAATGTTTTATGAGTCGATCAGCACCCGGTTGAGCTTTGATCTTAGACCACCTACCATGACCATACGAAAAACCTTAGAAGTCACTAAGATCATCCAACTTGGTATGGAAATACCAAAGAAAAGTACCTAGTTTCATGTGATTAAAGTAGTGTTAAACATCTCTCTCTCTCTCTCTCTCTCTCTCTCTCTCTCAAGGGCTGTATGTGTGTGTGTCTGTGACTCTGTGTATATAGAAAGACGAATCAGGTAAGCACCATTCCTGTGAAACAAGACATTCTTACTATTGCAAATTAATAAAAAATGAATGAAGGCGTTCTTACTGGTCAGAAAACAACGGTGTAACTTCAGCGTTAAATTCTTCCGTTGTGCAGGGGAGTTCATAATCCTCAACAATGGCCTTTGCAGCTTCTAAAGGTGTTGTCCCAATTCTCTTTTGTGCCCCTCTTCCATCCCATCGCTTACCATACTTAACCAAATACACTTTCAAGATATCATCCACAATGCCATCTGTTAATGAAATGGATTTTAATAACATGTCATAATAGAAATCAATAATACTAAACAAAATGAGGCCAGTTTCTCATAGAACACCACAATCATTGAACTGATAGGAAGATAGCAGCAAATAGAATGTAAAATTTGTTGGAAATGTATAAACGTTTTCTGAAATAAAAGGAAGAAAGACTTACCTGTGTTCAGAAGTGTACCATCCAAATCCAAAATGACATGTGAAACTAACCTCCTCGTCAAGGGCTTCACAGCTTCCATTATTTTGTCTTTGAAGGGCTCTTAAACAGGGAGTTGAATGCTGTCTGGAAGTTAACAACAGTGTGTAAAGCTGATTAACACTACATGTAATTTGCGGCAATAGATTATAACCTAAAAGCTTAGACCATAAGAGTGTGACTCTTATTGTAACCCAGACAATACATCAAATACGCAACATTGCAACATATCCCATAAGGGAAAACACTGTTGTCTTACATATGATGAGTAGCTCCGTTTAAGCACTAATTACAGCATGCTTAATTTTACCAACATCATCATCCAAGCCTTATCCCAATTATTTGGGATTGGCTATAATTTATAGTCCTTAAATATAACTAAGCATGCACTATTACAAAACCATGCACAGTGGACAAAAACAACTTGTAGTTCTACTTCCTGCTTTCCTTTGCATTTTAGTTTTGGGTTGCGAAAGATTAGAAGTGCCAAGGGGGCAGACTGTAATAGGGACAAATGCATTTAATGGAAGGAATTTGGCAGATCAAAATAACAGAACTACATATTGGTGGGGGGATTGGAGGCTTTCTAGGCTCATAAACGATACCAGAAAGGTAAACTATTGTATTATGACCAGATGCCTATGGCTTCTATGAATGGAAGGAATTTGGCAGATCAAAATAACAGAACCACATATTGGTGGGGGGGTTGGGGGCTTTCTAGGCTCATAAACAATACCAGAAAGGTAAAATATTGCATTATGACCAGATGCCTATGGCTTCTATGAAACGATCATATGGAATTATGGAGAGAGATATTCATGAGGTAACTAAGTGAAATGGTACAGAAACATTATTATGAAAACCTATGGCCATGTGGCAAGAATCCCTGAAGTATTCAAACCTCCTTTACAGGAACGGAGTGAGTTAATATTGCATATTCTCCAACCATTGTCACATCAATGGGCTTTCCCATAATCATCCACCATATTACTCACAAATCACTTCCTAAAACTCCAAAAGAAGAGGCACATTGGACACCATCAAGACATTATGATTACCCATGAAAAAGGTAGAAAGAATCTCTTTGATCTCATTTTTGAACAAAAGAACTTTCCAAAAAAAACAAAAATTTTGGAAGGATCTACTAGATCTAAATGATTTAGAGACAACCTCGAGGCCTCAATTACGATTTATCACTATTTAAGGAAACCTGTTTACAAAATCTCTCGCGCTCCAACTTCCCTCTTCATTCACAGGATCAACAAATCAAAATTGATTCTCTTACACTACTATTCAATGAATGAAACTAGTACTACAGTACACTTCTTTTAACCACAGCATCTATTCCGGTTACGAAAAGTTTCAAACAGGATTCATAAAAATCCTATACCCTGTTCCCTATCCTTCGAAGTTCTCTAAAATATACCATAAACAAAAATATTCTCCAAAACTTCTTCGGTTTTGAGGCATCAAAACAATATAACTGTCTTTACTTAACAACTTCCATTCTAGTTATTGAGTACTGAAATTTCTTATAAATATGAGTTTTCACGAAGCCCATGCTTAGCTACATACACCATTCATGTACCATCTCCTAAGAATGACAGTCCTAACAGTTTTTGGAAATTAGGCCTCAATTAACATAGAAAAGCATTTGTTTCTTTTGATGCAAACGAAGCACTAAATCTTAAATGTAGAACTGGAGACCGAACTTTTGGAAAAGAAAATAGTGACAGCACAAACAGGATATAGATGAAGAAATAACAAGAAGATGCTCAAAAGGAGGAATATTTATGTCTTCATCTGTACATATGAACTATACACTTATTTACAAATAATCATACTTACAAGTCTATAACCCTAAATAATTTTATCTAAATCCACAATAAACTACTTCTACGAAGAGAAACAAATAATAATTAATTAGGCTAAAACGGCAATAAATAAACTACCCAAGTATTGTGCTCACTTAAGCATACAGAAATCTATTAAATTGGCCACGTGAAACCAACTTTAAAAATACATGCAGGAGTCCTACACAACTTTTGACTTGCCTCCCTATAGAACATACTCCTCACAACTGTATTCAACATAGTGAAAAGCACCACCCTATAGGGACTCCCTCTAGTAAAATACTATTTTCTATTTTTTCTGCACAGTACCCCGTTTAAGAATTAAACATCTCGAGATGCTGCGTTTTCATAGAGGTAACTGAATTGATCACAAGGTATGTCCTTGATCTTTATCACTTTATCACAATAAGATTTGATCCCCATAAAACAAAAAAAAGTTAAATTTAAAACCAAAATGATTTATACATCATTCTTGGAGCCCGATATTAGAGTTTTTTTTTGTAGGAATGCCTTAAACCTTGGGCATTATCAATTCCAAACTGTGTAATTAAAAGGAAAGATGCCAGCTTCAAACGTTTCAAGAAAATTATATACAGGTCAAGCAAACTAAAAAAAAATAGAACAACGAAGCGGGAAAGAACTCATCAGAATCAAAGTACTGCATTATAGAACAGGGCCAACCATAAGAGCAAAAGAATTAAACTAGTAAAGGTTTATAGAACAGACCATCCATACTACTAAATGAATTAACCACAAATATATTAGTGAAATCATAAACCAAAATTACAGAAATAATTGAGCAAAGAAAAAGAAAGGACCCATCGTTATGCCAATGAGAACCGCCCATCAATACAAATCAATGAATTTAATAATAGAAAAGAACATAACAATGGAGAATGGGGGCTCTGCAATTGCATGCCTCATAATGTATTGATGCGCCGAAAATTTCACTTGAGAATTAAGACATTGAAATTGATCACAATAGCCATACCAAGAAAATCAATAAGGAGGGGGAAGAGAGAGACCCAAGACCCACCTACAGTGAGCTCTGCATTGTGTTAAATTCAATTTCACGGCTATGGAATTGAAACGGAAAATTTAGAGTTGGAAAGAAAGGAGGAGAAGACACAGAAAAAACAAAGCGAAGAGGCACTCATATATATGAAAATATGGAACCATGGATAAAATAGAATTAGAATTAGAATTAGAATTAGAATTTGAATTTGAATTGTATATGGAATGGGGGAATATACCAATGTCCCAAAGAAACGGCTTTCGTTTCGCATAGCGTCTTCATCTGAGGCCACCCACAAATTTCAAAGATTTCTTTAAGATGAATCACCAAATTGCCCCATTCCCATGTAAAACGGTGAATATATATTTCGGAAATTTATCTAAGGAAAAAGTTTATATAAGGTTGCAACTCTAAAATGTTGAATTAAATATGCACCTCAAAAATTCATCGTAAAATGTTTTTCAATAATGAAAAACCCTCTAATTGATTATCGCAACATTGATATGCATGAACATGAAAAAAAAATATTTTGAGTCTTAAAAATAGTGCATCTTGCAACACATTATCTGGACCGTCTATTTTCAAGATCTTCATATGTTTATAGACCGACTTAATTTTAACTATTTTTGAAGTTTAAAATTTTATAATTAGATATAAAAATAGCTTTTTTGATAGTCCTTTACAAATGAACTATTTGGCATTCCACCCATACCATTCAATTTAGAGAAATTTACACTTATATCTTATTTTAAAATTATACCCCTCGTAATTTTTGTATATTATGCACAAATCCTTTTGTTTGTCATTTATTTTTATTTCAATTCTACCCCTGATCCGAAAGTTGATATTCGAAGTCACAAAAAATTACACATTACTAAAATGTCAACTGTCAAAATAGAAAAGACCTTATCCTAAAAACTCCAGATCCGTGGAATTCAACTACAGCAAAAATTACCTTTATAATTTTCTCCTGTGAAGACAAGGTTTAATGTTGGTTTTTTTCCATAAAAGACTTAAAAAAAAGAAATGTGTTGATGGATATTAAAAAAGATTGTTTACAAAGGAACCATTTATCTTTTGGATAAAGAGGTCAAATCTGAATCCAATAAACCAAACACGCCCTTAGAGAATAATATAGAAAGACCATTAAAGTAGAACAATAAAAAAAAACAAGGGAAAGAGACGTAAATCCCAATTCTAAACTTATAGTCCCATAATGGTTGTCACTTATCCCCAATAATCCAAATCCCTTCCTCTTTTAATATTATTGGATCTCTCTCCCATTAACTTCCCTCACTTTCCCTCTCTTTCCCATGATTTTTGCTCTCTTCTATCTATCTTCCAATGAGTATACGAGAGAGAGGCAAATGGTTAATGGGAGAAAGAAAAGATTCACATGGAAGTGGGAGAAAGGTGGGGAAGGTTTATGGGGACAGAGAGAGATGGGGGATAAACAGGCAATTTGAAAAAAAAAAAAAAAGAAGCTAAAAAAGAGGTTAGGGATCTATTGATATTTTTTAAATTTTAAGTGGATTTATGGACAACTCATGGACCCGACGGTGTCTAGGAGACCATAAGTTTAGACGAGAGGGGCGGGGGGGAAGGGGGGTTATTTCTTTTGAGAAAGGTTTATATGCTTCCTCTACATCATAGAAGTTCTATCCTCCCCCTACCATCCAGCTGTCCAATTTTGATCAAGAGAGCCACTCACCATTTGATCTTAGATTTGACGTCTCAAAGTATTTTATTTTTAGCTTTTTTTTTATACAAATTGTATGAATATGAAATTTGGTACGTGATATCTTTTCATTGGGACGCACCTATAAAAAATATTAAAAATAATTTTTTGATAAAATATAATGACCAAAATACCTCTTGCAACGGTATTTTGATTATTTTATTTTATTGAAAATATTTTTTTTATATTTTTCACTAGTGCGAGTTTAATGGAAGAATGAACGTCCAAATTTTGGTATCAAAATAGTTTATAGAAAAAAATTAAAAATAAAATAATATAAAGACGTCACATTGTGATTGGGGCAATCTTAACCCTCCATTCAGAATGGACAGTTGGATAAGGGGGAGGATAGAACTTCTACGCTACAGGGAAAGCATAGAAAGCTTGCTCATTTCTTTTCTCCAAAAAACAAAGACCAATAAGTCAAAATGGGAAATACGAAGAAAGTAAAAATCAAATGAGCACAATTGGCACTAAAAAGGTTGGGGTGGCAACAGGTCGGATCGGGTCCAGGTCAACCTAGACCTAGACTTGACCCGACTTGACTAAGGTTTATATGGAGCTAGACCCAACCTGGATCAGGGTCTGGAAATTAAAAAATAAAATGTGGGTATACAAAGAGAGATAATAATTGTATTGCCTATAGGAAAAGAGAGGTTGTAGGTTGGGGATGGCGGTGGGGTGGGGTGGGGTGGGGCGGGGGCGGGGAGGAGAGAGAGAGAGTTAATTCATTTAAGGAGAAAATAATGATAAAAAAAAAGTAATGTTCAAAAACATAAAAGCATTGGTAATCAAGAAAAAGGAAGATAGTGTAGTTCTGTAGAAAATTTGAGAAACTTTGTGTTATCTCTAAGTTTTTGTAAGAAAATTTTAAAACCACCGATCTTCGCCAATAACATCTAAATCATATATAAAAATTTTATACAGTAATCTCTTATTTTTATTGATTTCTTCGCATTTTTTCTATTTTTTCAATGCCTTGAAATATATTACCGTGACAATAGATTACAAGGAAATACGGCATTTCCACTCTTTGGATACACTTAATTGTAAGGAAATTATAAGGAATGGAAAGAGATTACGGGAGATTTTCTCAAAAATCAGGAAATCCATTATATGCTGTGATAGTAGGTGAGAGTGACAGATATTTTTGGGAAATCTTTTGTGCATTTTTGCCTATCCTATCGATATCCCTAATTAAAAAATTCTTCTATGCCCTATCTCTTCATAATCTCTTCATAATAACTAGGTGATCCCTCCGCTCGTCCTCTATCTGAAGGCATCAGTGTCATATAAAAACAAAAATAATAAAAATAAAAACCAATAATCAATGATAAATTACACAACACAGTCATAATAAAAAATTTTATATAACATAATTCTCATAAGAGATTACTAAAATCTCAATTGAAATAACATACATCTGTAGTCTCCTCCGATAGCTCAAAATTTTATATTGCAATTACCAAACCTTCTAGTTTACTAATCAAACTTCTTCACATTTTTTAACTCGTACCCTACATATTTTGAATTTAGTATCATAAATTTATTGTTTATTTGAAATTATATAGAGAGACATTTGAAAGACTTCTATATAAAATAAATAAAAATAAAGCTTATCATAATAAAATCATGTGATTCCAATCATATTGTTCCATTATCATGTTGAAACCAATGTCATGTTAGAAAACATGTGATTGCATATAAGTGCCAAAGGCACTTAAAATAAGTAAGAAATAGTATTATGACTGTAAAATGGTACAAGTTATTATTAGAAAATCTTTTTGGAATGGTGATAATGTTAATGTTAGAAATCTTTTTAGAATGTTGTGATGATGATTTTAATTCAGTATTTTAGTGGAATTTTGTTACAAAAAAGAAATGATAATTCTGTATTTTAGTGAAATTTTATGACAAAAAAGAAAGAAATGATAGTTTATAGGTACATGCTGGTAAAATGTCGGCAATGCATTTTCTATATTTCTTCCAGACATAGTCAAACAATAACAATGTATTTCCTAGGTTACATCTAAATACTATCCAAACAGTAACAATCCATTTACAGGCAATGTATTACGTGAGCAATATATTTCACAGACAATATATTTACAGGTATCCAAACGGCCCCTGAAGATACCTCGAGTTGTATCGAGTAACTCAGGGAACCTATGTCCACCAAGAGGGCAAGTCCGAACAACTAGGCTGAGTCCAAGTGGACTTAGCCAAGTCTCATAACACTGGTTGATAGGCTGAGTCCAAGTGGACTTAGCCAAGTCTCATAACGCAGGTTGATAGTGACCGAGTAATAGAATCATGAATGAAAATCTAGCATATGTGGATCGAATATTTGAAAATTTAGAAATGCTTAATCTCCATAATAGCTATGAGATGAGAAATGCAACTATCAATGAAAATCCTTATACATAGAAATCTAAAAATAATATTTAATTTTAGAGAAAGTACAGAATGAGACTATTTACCCTTGATACAAGGTGGTTACAATAATCATGACCATTGGATGTGAAATTGAGTGGCTGCAGTTATTTGATTGACCAAGCTCAAACGTTAAAAGAACTTTTCTCAAACTTTGTGGCACATCCAAGCGAACAAATTTCACATCGAATGGTTGTAAAGACTTGTGACCACCTTGTATCAAAACTAAATGACATCATTGTTTACTAGTGTTCTCACAATCGAACCGGAACGATTAACCGTACATGACCCCATAAGCGATTTAACTGGCCTAACCGGTAAACGACCGATTCAATCGTTCTAACTGGGCAAGTCCCGTATGATAAAAAAAGTGTTAAAAAAAAAAAAAAGAAGAAGAAACAAATAAAAAATCTATTAAAATATGAAAAACATATAAAGAATGTGATGAAAACATGGGAAAAGTTTATACAGAACAAACACTCAAATAAAGTTGAAAATTAATGAAAAAAATGGATTTTAACAAATCGATTTGTGCCTAGGGATATTTTTAAAATTTTCTGAAAAAGATGGGAAATATAAAAGCATCATTTATAAAAAAAACAAACTTATTCTTTACCATAATGTAAAGAATGTTAAAATAGTGTTTCAAAAATCGACTTGGCAAACTCTTTTTTTTTTTTAAAGAAAATGAAGAAAAACTATATAAGCCCTTCTTTTTGTCAACTAAGTAGTAAATGGCGAACTGGTTAGTGGGACTTGTAAGTTTGATTCCTATGGGCAATAAATTTTTTGAATCAATGGTGAAATGAATTCGAATTCTTAAAAGAAAAAACACAATCGACAAAATGAATTCGAATTCTTAAAAGAAAAAACACAAGAATCAACGACGAAATGAATTCGAATGCAAAGATACTGGGATTCAAACCATGATTTACATGTAACTTAACCATCAAAACTAGCCAATAAAACATTCTAATAAATTTGAAGTAGTATTATATGTAAAGTTTAAAATATCGGTTGA